GACCTGCGGGGCTGGGACCTGAGCGCAGGGCGTGTCCGGGGCGCCCGGTGAACCAGCCAACCTCTGGGGCGTTTCCGTCAACACCGCTCGTGCTGGTTTTGAAACACTAGATGGCGAATTCTTTCAAACCCGTCCTTCCGTGTGTGTGCGTGTGTGTGTGTGTGTGTGTGTGTGTGCGCGCGCGCGCGCGTGTGTGTGTATGTGTGTGCGCTTGCGTGTGCGCGCGCGTGTGTGCGTGTATGTGTGTGTGTATGTGTGTGCGCGAGTGTGTGCGTGTGTGCGCGTTTGTGCGTGTGTGTGCATGTGCGTGTATGTGTGTGCGCGCGCGCAGCGTCTGTGTCTGGGCTGTCTCCAGGGCACACCAATGGGAAGGACCCATCAGAAGAGAAGATGCATGGTCCAGGCTCTGTCATGGACAGACAAACAGCCTTGGACAGATGACTTCATCTGGTTCCCAGTTTGTTTAGCTGTCTCCAAGTAAGAGAGGGCCCCCGGGTTGTTCGGTGGGTAATGTACTCCTGTGCTCCGTGCACTGCTCCGCTCAGCAGCTCCCCGAGGGCCACTGCCCCCAGAACCCTCCCTAGGGCAGCTCTCTGGCCTCAGGTTCCTCCACAAGCTCAGGGCACTCCTCTGGGAGAAGTAGGACTTGGCTACCGTGGTTACTGACCCTGGAGGGGAGTGGGGGACAGGGCTGTGGAAAGGCCTCCGGGACTGGGGTGGGGACAGGACATCGCTTCCTTAGAAGCCCGGCCCTGTCTGGGGAGCTGCTGTGGACCCGACTCAAGACAGGGGCAGTGTGGGGAGCCAAAATGGACGGGCTCAGAGATGGCGCTGCTGACTTCATGGGGAAGGAAGGGGTCAGTCTCCAGGAACCATCCCCTGGCTGTCCGCCTCTAGCCTGGTTTCTGGGCTGGTGCGTGGGAGCTGAGTTTGGGGGGGGGGGTTGCGGCCTGGACAGAAAGTTTCTCTGCTGCCCAGAAATCTTTGAACCTGTAATTGGAGCAGTCACAGCTGGTGGGCGCTGTGGACGGGAGTTTAAAAGGAACCAACCAAAGGCTCTTTCAGCTGCAAGCTGGGAAAAACCCCGGGCAGCAGAGACCTGCCCCGATTCTCAGAAAGAGCCTGCCTTCGGTTGTAATGTTATGCAAATGGCTGGCCCTGTCCCCTGTGGTGTCTGGAGGCTGCTCAGGTGTTTGCACACGGGACCACAAAGCCAGCCCAGCCCTGACCTCTGGATGGGGGAGGAGGTGTGTGTGCCACCAGCTATGTTTGTTCAAAGCTAAGCCTCTGCAGGTGGCTGAGTCCTTTGGAGATGTGAGCTCTTTTTGGCGTTGCTGCAGGGTCAGCTTGGGGCAGATACTGCGTGGGAGGCGGCCCACCAGGGTGCAGGATGTGGCTCTGGACCCCTGGGCCATTGCTAATCTGGAACTCACGCCCACAGTTAGCAGAGAGGCCTGCAAGGTGTGGGTCTTGTCTTTCTAGGATCAGAGATGAGAGAGACCTCCATCTCCTGGGCGTGGGTGGGGTGGGTGGGGTGGGTAAGCTGCTTTTGTGGGAACATGGCCACCTAAAGGCTCCTGCCGTGTCTCCTGGGCCGGCTGTGAGAAATGGCTCACCTGTCCAAATTTAAAATGACCGACTAGGAAACAGAAGCACGGCGAAAATGAGACTTTTAATAACACTCTTGAGAGTGGGCACTCATTGTACAGGAACACATGTTGGGCAGGGAACATAGCTTATTTATTTAGTCCCTCCTCCAGTTCCTCATTGGCTGAGTACTATTTGGTCACCTATTTCCTAATAGGTCACCTAGGTCTTACTGACTCCCGTTAGGTGATTTTAAAAAATGGGCTAGGGCCTTTTCTAGTTGCCTCCACCTCCCTTTATCTAGGGCAGCGGTTCTCAACCTGTGGGTCACGGCCCCTTTGGTGGTCGAATGACCCTTTCACAGGGGTCGCCTAAGACCATCCTGCATATCAGATATTTACATGACGATTCATAACAGTAGCAACATTACAGTTATGAAGTAGCAACGAAAATAATTTTATGGTTGGGTCACAACATGAAGGACTGTATTTAAAGGGCCAGAAGGTTGAGAACCACTGGTCTAGGGCAGTGGTCGGCAAACTCATTAGTCAACAGAGCCAAATAACAATAGTACAACGATTGAAATTTCTTTTGAGAGCCAAATTTTTTAAACTTAAACTGTATAGGTAGGTACATAGTTATTAACTTAATTAGGGTACTCCTAAGGCTTAGGAAGAGCCACACTCAAGGGGCCAAAGAGCCGCAGTTTGACGACCACTGTTCTAGGGTAATCATCCTAGGATATGCTATCAACCATGTGTCCCTCTCCCCACCCCTCACATCCTGTTTGCTCTGGGGAAATTCAGTAACCACCTAGCCACATACTGTTTCTTTTCTATGAAGATGAAGCATAGAGGCATGCTTCCTACACAGCTGATGTGAGGACCTGGGGCACCGGAGTCCAGCTGCCAGGCTTCTGCTGCCCCTCACTCTACTCTGTCTACCTCCTTGCCCTCAGCAACCACCATTCCTGCTTCCCCACTTGGCCACCCAGCTTCATTTCCTCACCCTTCGCCACACAATAGCCATGTGGTTGATCTCAATTCTGGGCTCTGCAGATGTTGCAGAAGACCAGAGAAAAACCAAGTGACGCTTTAGAGAAAAGGAGTGACACTGTTTATTTACGCCAGCGGACTCAGGGAATAACTTTCCAAATCTGAGTAAAGTAACATGCAGGGGCTTCTCTTTTATATCTTTCTGGGGTCTTTGTCCCACAAATATGGATTATGCTTCCGGTCCTTTTCATGGGATTTGCAAGAAGGCCCCCAGGTGTGGGAGTCTCCAGGCCATATCTGATGGTCTGGCCTGGCGCCAGCGTTAATAATAATAACTCCCCTCCGGGGCAGTGCACTGTTCACAGTTTTGTGGCCTCTGTAACAGGTTCTGCAAGACCAGTTTCTGGGAGAGAGGTAGTGACTTAACTATAGGTTACCAAGAATGTACACTGAGCTTGCTGGCATGGATTCAGATTGCTAGCTCTCCTCAAATATCAGGGTTACATTGGAATGAGCCTTTTAGCCTCCTCACAGATAGGTGCATGCCGCAGCCAGGGAGACGTGGCAGGTGACAGATTCTCTGCTCAACCAAACTTAGCTCCTAAGCCTTCGACTGGGACCCTCTGCGTCCTTCACCTGCCCGCCTTCAGCAAGAGTCCTGGTGGGTGGATGTAGCCAGAATTCCCCCTCATCCCTGCTGTTTCTTTCTTTTTTTTTTTTAATATATATTTTTATTGCTTAAATTATTACAAAGAGTATTACATGTTTCTCCTTTTTTCCCCCCGCCCTTGACACCTGGCCTCCCTCCCTTACCCCCCCAGTGTCTTATGTCCATTGGTTATGCTTATATGCATGCATACAAGTCCTTTGGTTGATCTCTTACCCCCCCCGCCTCCCCACCCTCCCCGGCCTTCCTGCTGTAGTTTGACAGTCTGTTCGAGGCAACCCCTGCTGTTTCTTGTAGTAGCTTTCCACCCACTGTCACCCCTCCCCTTGCTCTTTGGCTCTTGTAGAGGAGGAAGAGTTTCCCTTGACCCTCACAGGACCCCTGGCTGGGCATGAAAATTAAACTGACAAAGAATCGTCATCAGGAGAAAAGCAGTCACATTTATTTAATTTTGTAAGTTTGATGTGACGTGGGAGACTTCATAAGAATTGAAAAGAAACAGTTACCCCTGAGTATGTTGTGCTGGTTTGATGGGGAGTGGACAGTCGTGGCGGAGGATGACCGCTCAAGCAGTGATCAGGTGTACGTCATCCCGGTGTTTCTGAGACTAAATTGATCTGCTTCCACATTCATGGTGGCCAGGCGTGTAAGTTCAGGGCTGGGTGAAAAGTCTTTGGTTTTTGGACACAGACAGTAGGGGGGTAAGGGCATGCGCTGGGGGGTGGGAGCGGCTGGGGAGAGGTCAATGGGGGAAAAAGGAGATTCATGTAATATTTAAACAATAAAGAATTTTTTTTAAAAGAAATTTTTGGTTTTGCCTGGTCAACTAAGAACTGCAATAAAATCTTAGCCAGAACATAAGGTTAAATATATACATTTGATTACTTAATTACATATTCTGTTAGTAAAAGGGTGGGAAAGAAAAGAGAAATTAAGACAAGAAGGGAAAAACAAAACCATACTTTTATTCTACCCTTATACCCCTATCAGAATGGAGTGGGGCCCTAGCCGGTGTGGCTCAGTGGATAGAGCGTCGTCCTGCGGACTCAAGGGTCCTGGGTTCGATTCCGGTCAAGGGCATGTACCTTGGCTGCGGGCACATCCCCAGTGGGGAGTGTGCAGGAGGCAGCTGATGGATGTCTCTCTCTCATCGATGATTCAGGCTCTCTGTCCCTCTCCCTTCCTCTCTGTAAAAAATCAATAAAATATATTTAAAAAAAATTAGAATGGAGTGGGGCAGACGGGGAGGCTCTGCCCAGGAGTGCAGTGGCTGGTGGGAGGTGCTCTGGGTGGTGCTGCCCTCAGCCCCCTCTCTGCTGTCCCCTACCCTCAGCCTCAGGCTGCAGACCTTGCTGTGCCCCATCTGGAATTCTTGATCCTGGCATAGCTAGCTCCCCCACTCCTTCCAGTCTGGCGGATGCTACTTTCTCAGTGGGGACTTCCCTGGCCCCTGGTTCCCTCTCCCATCTCTCTGCTCAGGTATGAGCTGCTGCTCTTGGGCTCCTGTGAATGGAAGACAATAACCTTATGCACTCCGCTGGTTGGTGGGCAGGGCTAAGCCACTGCTGGCATGTGACGAGTCTATATTTTTACTGCTGTTATTGTCGTGTGGGGGCTGGTGGTGCTGGGCAGGTGCCATGAGAACGTCAGACAGGAGGGATCTCCCGCTGAGACCTGGGGAAGAGAGGGTTATCTGGCCAAGGACAGGGTGGAGAGATGAAGACAGGTTGCCACCCAGCAGTGGTCAGGTTTCATGACAATGGTGCACGCAGGGGCAGGATCCTGAGCGGCCACGTCAGGGATTCACTCAGGGCGGGAGGAGGATCCGTCTCAGACTCAACACAGAAAACCTGTGGTGACAGACCCTCAGAGGGGCTGGTGACTGTTTCCAAATCAAGTCATGCCGTCATTAAAGTTCACTGGATTATCTCAAGAGCATTTTATCAGGAACGCCAATTCCATCCCAGAAGGAAATTCTGCCCAGACCAGGCGAGGGGAAATTTTCAAGGAACTAGATGGAGCTCGAAGCATCTTCTCCAGCAGATCCAATAGGTGGTCCTCCAGCGGCAGCCTGGGGACTCACGGTCTGGCAGCCCCTGCAGACCTGGTGCGGGACCGGCTGAGGTGGGCTGATAGCCGGCTGCCGATCCACAGGCCCAAGGGCTTGAGGAAGGCACATGGGTCACAGCCCAGCCTCCAGGAGGAGGAGACTTAGACACCAGGACAAGTGCACCCTTTTGCAAAGTCCCGAGGCAAGGATACTGGAGGAAGATGATCCTGCATTGGGTGGATATGAAGGTGAGCATGGGTTCTGGATCTGAGGGGCTGGATGGTGTCGACAGTGTGCGCTCTGCTAACTAAGCCTGTGTGAATGAAGCTGAGATGCTGGAAACGCCTTGTTTTAATGGAGAAAAGGTATCCAAAGACTGAGAGTCAGGAATGTCTTGTGCTTGACCTGCTCAAGGTCCCTGAACTCTCCCCTGGGAGGGCCTGAGGACACCCCCTCACACGACATTAGAGGTGCAGTGAGGGGCAGCAGCACCTTGGAAAGGAATGTACTGTGCTTGACCTTGAAAGCGGTGGGGAGGCTGGCCTCTAGAGGGCAGAAATGAAGTGGGGTACAGAGAAATGGGCGGAGCCAAGGGGCGATCTCTTTCTCAAATCAATCAAGAAAAAATATTAAAAAAAAATTTTTTTTATTGATTTCAGAGAGGAAGGGAGAGGGAGAGAGAGAGATAGAAACATCAATGATGAGAGAGAATCATTGATTGTCTGCCTCCTGCACGCCCACTACTGGGGATCAAGCCCCCAACCGGGGCATGTGCTCTTGACCAGAATTGAACCCGGGACCCTTCAGTCCGCAGGCCGATGCTCTATCCACTGAGCCAAACCAGTCAGGGCAAGAAAAAATATTTTTAAAAAATAAATGGGTAAAGAGATGGTGGGATGACAGAGGCCCATGTGGCCAGGTAGGTGTGGTCACCATGATGGTCAAGAAGAATGGTGTGGCCTCAGAGACCTTTGGCTCATTGGTCATGGAGTCACCCTTAGGACAAAACAGGGCTCTGTCAGTGGAGGTGGGGGTCGGGGTGGGGGTGGAAAGACCCCCATGTCTCAGGAACACGACTGGAACTTGACTCACAATGCAGTCACATCTCCCCTTCCAATTCCTGGACATGAGTCATTCGCATATCCGGAGCCTCTGCCAGAGGGAAAGACCTGGCGGAAATACCCAAGGCCCTGTGGTCTTCCCCTGCCTGGTACCCCTCCCCCAACACAGGGATGTGCAGACCGGCCAGGATGGCGCGTGCACTGGGGGAGGGGACACCCCCAGCTCTCAGGAACAGTTGGGCTCTGGCTCTGAGCTAATGACACTTCCCAGACTCTCTGATGCCCCCGCCCATCCACAGTCCACTGATCGGAGGGGTCAGATGAAACATGCATTTTGGGCCACAGCCCATCTCCCAATGGACACAGCGGGTATGTGAATCTATCTTGTGTTAATTTCTCCGGTTCTCAAGGCATTCGGTATGATGGATGCACTAAGCAGCAGGCCAATGCAATATTACCTGCAGATCCCGGCAAAGACTCAGGTGAGAAGCCCAGTGGAGGCCCGGGGGCTCCCTCCTATATCAGTTGAGGAAAAACCAGCTACTTTGACAGATAACCCCCAAATGCTAGTGACTTAAAACAATTGATGTTTATTTCATGCTCACAGAAAGTCCAGTTGGCAACTTGGGCAGGGATGGCGGCCCTCTGCTCCATCTAGTCATTCAGGGAAGTGCTGCTATTGTTGACATGAGGATTTAAGGTCACCCCAGGAGGGTGAAGACAGCACAAGCAGGACTGGGCAACAGGTATTTGTGGGTTGGGTCTGGGAGTGGCCCACAGCATTCCTACCCAAATCGATTCCAGAACTCTGTGACACGGCTCTACCTGGTGCAAGAGGGGGTGGGAGGTACAGATCGGCTGAGAGGGTGGTCCGCAGGGAGCTGGCAGCGGGGCATTTGCTTTCTGACGCCTTAGTTTGCTGCTGCTGACTGTGGCGACAGGAGTAACTCCCCAGGGGACCTCAGGGATAGTGTGTTTGCAATGACTCTGTAGCACTAACTTCGTGGATTCAATCCCTTTCTGCTCAAACTAAGCGTCTGCAACCTATACCCAGACCCTGGCTTTTACAGTCAGGGAGGTGAGAGGTCAAGGAAGAGGGAGGCAAGGAATCTCGTGGATGGAGATGATGAGGTCAGAACTGGGATGCACAGGCAACTCATGATCAAGACACCAAAATCTTCAGTGCCTGAGAGGACGTGGTTGACCAGAGGGGCTCATTAATCACCTCTCTGTTCCTCCTGCTTTGTGCTCTGGTGTGTATGTATAATAAACGTTTTAAAATGCAGAATGTTCTTTTGTTCATTTATGCATTCATTTAATATCTGCCCAGCAAAAAATCAATAAACACTTCTACAGGCTGACTGCTGTGGCTGAATAAGAAAAACAGTTTCAACAAAATAATCTAAAGCCCCTGTATTATAAAGCACTTGGAAATGCTGACAAAAGTATAATAAGCATTTTTTAAAAAATGCATAGCTGAGCTTGAAAGAAAGCAAGGTGTATTCCCAGAGACACAAAACGAAGTGGAATCTAAAGCAACAGTGTTAGCCCATATGACCTTGGGGACAGTCTCAGTACCAGGAACTTAGAGCTTGGGGTTTTAATGGCCGCACAGGAGACAAAAGACAGGCTTAGGCCCATGCAATACAAGAAGTTAGAATTTAGATTTGCACACAGTCAGGACTTTCAAAGACCCATAATTTCAGTGAGAAGCTAGAAAGACAGAAAAAACCCTGCTCTTCAGGAAAGAGAAATGAAAAAGATTTTGTAATGATGTCACCACAAGATGTAAATCAAATCTCCCAAAATTCAGAAATATACATTTACCTTCAAATGGGTGTGAATTTTAAATATATATGAGGAGTGGTCTGGAATCAGTTGAAGGTTGTTGGTTGGCAGCACTGAGGCACTGCCTGAGCAAATGATCATCTCTGGAGGAGGACAGCCCAGCGCAGTCCCCCAGGATCCCACGGACGGAATGGGGCAAACATGAGATCATAATCTAAAGTCACAAAACATGGCTTGGCCGGCATGGCTCAGTGGTTGAGTGCCGACCTATGAACCAGGAGGTCATAATTCAATTCCCTGTCAGGTCACATGCCCAGGTTGTGGGATCGATCCCCAATAGGGGCATGCAGGAAGCAGCCAATCAATGAGTCTCTCTCATCGTTGATGTTTCTATGTCTCTCTCCCTCTCCCTTCCTCTCTGAAATCAATAAAAGTATATTTTAAAATAAAAATAAAATCACAAAACATGGAAGTATGCTGAAGATATTCACACAGATAAAAGATGCCATTGAAAACCTGGACAAGAATGAGAAACTATCGAAAAGGATCAGAAAAAAGAGAAACAGAAAAATCTGATAGATTTGAAAAGGAACAAAAATATGTAATAACTACATTTTAATGGGCAGGTTAAATAGCAGACTAGACACAGCTGGGAATTACTGAACTAGAAGATAGTCTGAAGGAATTACCCAGCACCCAAATAGACTAGGGCAGCGGTTCTCAACCTGTGGGTTGTGACCCCTTTGGGGGTCGAACAACCCTTTCACAGGGGTCGCTTAAGACCATCGGAAAACACATATATAATATCACATTGTTTTTGCGATTAATCACTATGCTTTAATTATGTTCAATTTGTAACAATGAAAATACATCCTGCATATCAGATATTTACATTAGGATTCATAACAGTAGCAAAATTACAGTTATGAAGTAGCAATGAAAATAATTTTATGGTTGGGGGTCACCACAACATGAGGAGCTGTATTAAAGGGTCACGGCATTGGGAAGGTTGAGAACCACTGGACTAGGGGATGAGAACATTTTGCAGAAATTAGAATGAGAAGGCCTGATATTTTTTAAAATGTTCACTCTTTTAAAAAATGTCACACTTTATAATTTCATTAAATATATTATAATGCTGTAGAACCATCACCACTATTTCCAGAACTTTTTTATCATCCTAATCAGCAACTCTGTACCCCCCAAACAATAACTACCTAGCCTCTCCGCCCCCAATCCCTGTACTTCTATTCTCCCTTCTGTCTGCATGAATCTGTCTAGTCTAGATACCTCTTGTAAGTAAAGTCATATGTTTGTCCTTTGTGATAGCTTATTTCACTTCACATAATGCTTTCGAGGATAATCCTTGAGGTCTAACATATTTTCAATAGGAGATACTGAGGAGACAATATTAAAGAAGATAATAGCAAACTAGCCAGGGAAGCTATTTCAAGTTGAATTTCCTAACTTCATTGTCCACATTGATAAAATGTCAATAGTCATACCTGCCTTATGGGGTTTACTGTGAGGGTTAATGAAACGATGTGTGTTTGGGACCAGGCTCCCTTAGGGGTGCTGGTTTCCTGTCCCCATTTGTAGATGGGTTAATGGTTTTTATGGCTGGGCAGCTAGTTAAGAGGAGGGAATTTCTAAGTCCCTTCTCTGCTGGCCTGACCAAATCCTGTCTGAAGTCAGGGGAACCTCACCACCTAAGAAGAATCTCACCTCATCCCACACTCTGGAAGGTTCCATCTCCAGTGTAGAATCTATATCTTCCAAGATCTGTTTTACTTCCCCCAAATGCTCAGGATCAGTTTCTTCTATAGTCTGTAAGGCACATCTGTATTCCTCACCTGCACCCCTCCCACTCTTCCCCTTTTATATCACACTAGAGGCCCGGTGCATGAAATTCGTGCACAGGTGCAGTCCCTAGGCTTGGCTGGCGATCGAAGTGCGAGCATCTGACGTGGAAGGGCAGGTCCCAGCTGACCTCTGGGCCCTGGGCAGCACCTGGGCCCTTGCGTGCCCCCCTCTGCCTGAGTCACGATGCCCGAGTCCCCACGCGGAGATGCGGGCCAGGGCACAGCGTGGGCCTCTGGGCCAACCAGGGGCGCCACACAGAAGCCAGGCGGGCAGCATGCTCTCCCAGCCAGCCTCCCAGACCGGCTCCTGTGTGAACTCACGAGGAGCCTGACTGGCCCCTGCTGTCCTGGTGGCTGTGGCCTGGCTCACCCAAAGAGGCCGCGGGGGTGCGGGGTGGGCTCCTCACAGGTGCCCAGCACCTGATCGCGGGGACTTCCCCCGGTGCGCAAGAGCCCTGGCGTCCTGGGGTAGGGTAGCAGAGGGAGTGAGAGCAAGCTTGGTGGACACCCTGCATTCTCACCGCACCTCCATCCCATCATCCCCACCCCCAGGTAGCCGGTGAGAGGTCGCACCCCCCTCACCCAGCCAGGTGCCACAGGAGGTTGGTCGCCACCACCCACCCCCAGTTTCCCAGCCCAGCCCAAGGCCAGACCAATTGGGCGATCAGGCCCTGCTCGCACCCGCCTTGGCCTGGAGCTGCCTGCTCACCTTCTCCACCATCCCTCCACAGTCCTGCTCTCATTAGGGCCCATGGGGCAAGCAGCACCTCCACTGCTGCCTGCTGCCTGTGCTGCGTCGCTGATGACCTCCATGCTCTGCGCCGCCCTCTGGGGGTCAGCACACGTCATAGAGAGTGGTCGAACTCCCAGTCGAGGGGTCAATTTGCATATTAGGCTTTTATTATATAGGATTTTTAAAATATATATATATTTTTATTGATTTCAGAGAGGAAGGGAGAGGGAGAGAGAGATAGAAACATCAATGATGAGAATCATTGATTGGCTGCCTCCTGCACAACCCCCTACTGGGGATCAAGCCCGCAACCTGGGCACGTGCCCTTGACCGGAATGGAACCTGGGACCCTTCAACCCATAGGCCGACACTCTATCCACTGAGCCAAACTGGCTAAGACTATATCACATTTTTTTTAATATTGGTTTTTTATTTTATAATAAAACTTTGCTGATTAAAAAAAAGAGAAGATAATAGCAGAGAAATTCCAGATTTGATGAAAGACATAACTCCTTACAATCAGAAACCACAACAAACCCCAAAGAGGACAACTAAAACTAAAACCACACCTAGACACATCATGTGAAACTGAATAATATTAAAGACAACAGGGTCTTAAAAGTAGCCAGAAACTTATACAGAAAAAAATGACAATTATAAGTAGCATTTATTTAAATGGCAACAATAGAACCCAGATGACAAAGAACAGTAAGTTAAAAATTTGGCATGTAAATGACTGTTCCTCTAGAATTGCATGATTGCTAGTTGCCTATCCTAATATCCATCTTGCCTTCTTCATTATTCACAGCAGCATGGTTTTATAGGGGCAGCAATGTGCTCACCTAAGAAAGAACCTCATTTCCTAGCCTAACTTGCACTCAGACCCAGTTCTGGCTAATGAGAGGTAAGCAGAGTCATTGGGTAAGGTTTCCAATAAGTTCCTTTAGAGAGACAGACATCTGTACATGATGCAGAGGGAAACTTTCTCAATCTGATAAAGGGAATCTACAAAAATACCTTCAGATAACATTATACTTAACGGTGAAAAAATTGAACATTTCCCCCATATGATTGACAGCAAAGCAAGGATGCTTGCTCTTACCACTTCCATATGACACTGTACTGATGGTCCTAGCCATTGCAATAAGGCAAGAAAAAGAAATAAAAGGCATAAAGGTTCAAAAGGAGGAAGTATTTTGGTATTTGCTGATGCCCTGATTGTTTATGTAGAAAATCCAAAGGAACCTGTAAAAAATGCTACTAGAATGAAGTGAATTTAACAAGGTTATAGGCTATGAAATTTTATATACAAAATCAGTGTACTTTTATGTATTAGCAATAAACAATTATAAAATGAAACTTGAAAAGTTTATTTGCAATAATGTGAAATAACAAAATTCTTAGAAATAAATTTAACAAAAATATGCATACTTCTAAATAAGCATACTTTTCTGCAATTCCCAAGCCAAAAAATATATAACTGATATTAGAAAGTCATAACAAGGTTTAATTAAAAATACTACTTATCAAAACTTAAGGGACAGAGCTAAAGTGGCATTTGGTAATTTATAGCCTTAAGTGCTTATGGTCAGAAAAGACAAAGACTGAAAATAGAGTTAAGTGTCCATTGAAGAAACTAGAAAATGAATCATAGAAATAAAAGAAAAGGCAGAGAAAAATATACCGATTAGAATTAAACAAATAGAAAATAGAGATGACAAACAAGATGAAAAACAGATTCTTTAGAAATTTTTCCTAGAAAAAGAAAATTGAACAAACCAGACTCAGGATGAAAAAATACCTAAATATACCGATAGACATTAATAACTAGGAGCAACAAAAAAAGTCTACCCACAGAAAAGACCAGATCCAGTGTTATAATCAACTGAACCTTCAAGGATTCCCGCCTCCTACAAACTCATCTGGAGTTGGGAGATGTCTGTCCAGAAGGCAGGTGGGTGTGAACAGCCTAGAACTGAAGCTTTGATTCATCCACTCAGCAAATATATGTTGAGTACCTACGCTGCACCAGGCACTATTTCAAGACCTTGGACACATTGGTAACCAAACAGGTCGAGCTCCCTCTCCACAGAGAGCCCATGTTCTGGTGGTAAGACAGATACTAAACAAGTGAGTTCCATACAGCACCGACAGTAGGTGCTGCTGAAGACAGAGAAGTAGATGGGAGTGAGGGGGCAGGGGGTTGAGTCTACTTGGGGGAAAGAGTATCGACTGGGCAGAAAGGAAGAGCAGACAGGGAAGGCCTGATTGCAGAAGCCCCTGCCCCCATGAGTTGTTTTGGAAACCAAGGGTGTGAGGTTCAAGGAGGAGTCAGGTGAGCCAGGAAAGAAAGCTGATGGTGTCATTCCAGGGTGGATGTGGGTCTAGGCCGCTGAGGCATGAGGAGGGCAGGGCTGGAACTCAGTGAGGAAGTGGCCCCGGAGGGTTAGAGGAGGAGGGAGGGGTGAAGGAGGGGGCACACCTGAGCTGCAGGGAAGGTCAGTTGAGACAAACACCTTGTCAGAAGAGTTGACCAGGAGGCACTTGGGGCCTCAGGGGAGGTGGAGTGAAGGCTGGAGCAGCGAGGGCCAGTGGGCAGGCTCCATCCAGGGCTGGGTTTGCCCTGTGCCAGGCACTGTTTTGGGTGTTTAGCTCACATGCGCTCCCCAAGGCCCTAGGAAGCTTGTTTGTGGTGGGAGAATGTGGGGAAGAAGTAGGGAACAACGATCTTTCTGGGACCCTGGTCCTGAAGGAAGGAGGGAGGCCATGGTCAGGTGAATCCTCACCTTTAAGGACAGAGGCAAGGGAGGCAAGGGGGCAGGGCTGGGCCAGGCAAAGGTGGACCTACTGAGGCAGGTGGACAGGAGCCTGGGGTCGCCCGCGTCCTTGGCTTCCGTGTCTGCAGACCCACCGCCCGGCAGGCAGAGGCCCCGCTGTGGGTGCAGGGCTTCTGGGGGTGCTATTTTTGCTGCTGCGGGTGGTGAGGGAGCCGGGGAGTGTGGGCCTGGATTTCATGTGTATGTGCCATCCTGTGTGCCATGCTCTTTGTGGAGCCAGCACTGTATGAGGCTCTGGTATCACTCTGGGCTGAGCCGGGCCAAGCGGAGACGATGAGTCCGATGGAGGGTCTCTCCCAAGGGGCTGGGCATCGGTGCACAGGGCTCGGGTAGGGAGGCCTGGGGAGGCAGGAAGGGCCCTGTGAGGTCCAGGCTGGGTGGGCAGGTGGGTATGTGGCCATCAGACAGGTTTGCAGGGAGTTGGTGAAGGACTAGGACTGCTCTGAGTCTGGGTGGGGGAGAGGCACAGCCTCCTCCTGGCATCTGTCAGGGACTTTGGTGAGCTTGTCCATGGCCTTGCAGTGGCCACAATGGGAGGAGCCGCTGGGAGCAAAGGCAGGTGGAGGTGGTGGTGGTATGGATGGGGGGTGGCAGGGCTGCTCTGGGTGGGCATGGAGTTGGGGGCCGGGGTGGCTGGGGAGGGGGGAAGCGGGAAGGGCAGGAAGATGGTGGAGACACAGAGCACCGGACACAGTCGTTTCCTCTCTCCAGGGCTGGGCCAGGAAACCCAAACTCTCATGCTTCCCAAGGTGCTTCCTGCAGATAAGTGGGCTTCCAACCGCCCCTTCCTGCTCCCCGCTTTCCCCACCCCTCCCATCCTGCTCCAGTCCCCAGGGGACCCTCAGCTCCCTCACTCAGGCCAGGCCAGTGGCCTTGGGAAGAGCCCGGACAGGGAGGTGGGAGGTCTGGGCATTCCGGGCAGGGAGTGTCTGCTGAGAAAGCGGGACAGACAGACCCACAGTCAGCGCTGGAGGCTCGGCTCTGTGGGGTCAGTGGATCCTGGGGGACAGAGATGTTCCCTAAAGTAGGGTGGATGGGGGTGGAGTGAGCCAGGGTTCCCTCAGGGGGTAGAGTTGGCCCTTGGGAAGCGGCCCCTGCCCTGGGGAGGAGGGGGACCAGAGGCTGCCCTGGAGGCAGAGGGATGGGCATGGGTGGTGTGGTGGGAGGCCCTGGTGGTGGCGGCTCTGTGGGGAGCCGGCGGTTCTTGGAGGGAATGTCAAACACTTCCGCGTGGGGTGAGGGTGTTCCCAGGTTGCCATGGGGAGGGCCCGGGAGGTGTTCTGTGTGGGTTCATTCAAGTGTATTCCTGGGAGCCCAGGGGATCCAGGGCTGCGCCTGGGGAAGGCGGGGGCGGCCGAGGTCAGCGCGCTTTCTCCAGGCGCCAGGGTGCCCCATGTTGGCCGGGCTGTGAGGGCTCACAAGTGTGCGCTGTGAGGTTCGCTGTGTGCCTTCCCAGAGGGTGCGCGGCTCTGCTGGGAGAGGCAGGGCCGTGCTTGGGGGGAGTTCTGGGGGGAGTCAGAGGTATTTCTCTGGGGATGTTGCGACGTTTAGTGGTGGCTGCTCCCGGAGCCCTGGGGTGCAGCGTGTGGACGCCCTGGGGCAGTTCCGTCGGCCCCGCGGGTGGGGGGGGGGGCCGGGGCTAGTTCTTCCCTGCGCTCCCCTCTCCTCCACCCACTCGCCACCCCTCCTGCGTTGCCACGACAACGGGTAAAACTAAAATTCTCTTCCTGCCGCAGGTGGAGTCTAGTAGCGCCCCCTCCTCTAAACCCTTCCTCATAGGTCGCGCCCCCCATCCTGCCGTCGCTAAGGTGACGGGGAGGGGGCGTCGGGCGTTGGATCTGGGCGAACCTGGGGTC